ATACTGCAAATTGCTTACAGCATGATTTGTGAACATATTTAAGCACCAGCTACACACAACACGCACTGCACCGATTTTACATAGTCTCCACAGACACCATCTTGCACATTTCTCCTCCTCATGATGCTCAGTGTAGAGCAGTGCATACTCTAGGGACTTGAAGGAAACAACATCAAACGAAATTTACTAGGAGCTGGCCACATGCCAGGCCCCTTGGGAAAGCAGTCACAGTCTGGTCAAGGAGACATGCCTGTCAATGATCACAATACGGTGGGATATGTGATGAGCCCAGGTTCTAGGAAGTTGTGGGATGCAGAGAAGGGGTGTGTGGAGTGCAGGCAGGTGCGGCAGGTGGAGGCATAAAGGTGCCAGTCCTTACACAGGTTAAGGCTGGCTAGCAGGGTGGACCTGGCTTGTACTGAGAGCCACGAGTTCTGCGTGGCCGGAATATGAAATGCCAGGAGTGAGGCCTGTGTTGGTGGGAGTCAGAGCACAAAGGGAAAAGGGGGCTGTGCTAAGGATCCTGGATTCTACCTCACAGGGTTTGAAGTAGATGGGTAATGTGACTGCCGAGAGGTCTGCCAAGCCCACTCTGACGGCAATGTGGACAATAGCATGGAGGCGACTCGGGGGGTGAGGTGGGAGGTGCTGTATAAGGGCTGACGTGCCCTGGACGCAGTGGTTGCAGAGACGGCTGGAGGGGCAGATCACCAGGCAGCATTAAGGAGTTAGAAATGACAAGACTTGGTGATTAAATAGAGATGGGGGTGAAACAGTTGCCAAGAATGACTTCTACACTTTCAACTAGAACAGTAAATGGCAGTAGTAAATCATTAATAATCAGATTTTTTAATAGTGCAGTTTAAATGATTAAGATGATGATTTTGATGATATTTGCAATGCCCTATATGTTTAAGTGCCTTTGAATAACATAAATTACAATCATTATAATTTAAGAATTATATTTTATAAGATTCATATACTCTGAAAACTGGCCTGATGAGACCACTAACCCTGCTTAAGAAACTGATGGCTTTCTACCATCTGTGGGATAAAGTCCAATCCCTGTGTGTTCTGCTGTCCAGTCTCCTTCCAATCAGGATTCCAACTCTCAAGGCTCATGGCCCACGGCCCATGCCCCACACCCTAACCCCACTGCAGGCACATGGAACTTCCTGCTCTTTCCCAAATATAACATACACTTTTATTTCTGGAAGCCTCATCTCCCTGGACAGTGAGTTAAGCTCGCATTCATTTAAGACCCAGATTGAATGTCACCTCCTTTTCAAAGAAGCCTTCCCCAGTCCCCCCAGGCAGACTGCATGCTCCCTCTTCTCAGAGCCCTTACGTTCTGAAGGCCCCATATCATAGTTCTCATCACAGTCTGTAATCACCTGTTTTTGTTCCCTCAACTTATCCATGAGTTTCCTGAGAAAGAAGACTTCACCTCATCCTCATTCTATGCCCAGGGCCTACCAAACAGAAGCCACAGGGTGCTTGTGCAGCTGAGCAACGGGAGGTCAATCCCAGACTGCTGGAATGGTCAGTTATGGGCCTGGGATAGGCTTTGGGAAGGGAATGGCCAAAGTGTTCCATAGCACAGCCTCTCCTTTACTAGCTAAGCATCTCATTCCTGTGCTTGTATAACCTCAGCAAAATGACAAATGACCTCATGCCATAGATCTTTGGGTTGCCCTCAAAGTCAAAACCATAAATGTTAATTCTGTGAAGGCCAAGCAAAGTTCTACTACTTTTCCAGAAGCTTCACCTAACAGCAAACAACACAGATGTTATGATATAGTTGCTTAAAGACAAAGTTTCCTGTATCCCAAAAACCCAACATTGCTTTTTGCAGACTGTCAAGATCCACATCAACTGGCTTATAGGTGAAAGCCTCTCATGGTGGTCTTCTAGCTCACAACAATACTCCCCTTCTCTGGAAACAGGCTCACCATTGGGGATGAGGCTGGGAGAGTCCAGGGGCACTGAAGGCAGACCTAAGCTTGAAGATTCACTGGAAATGCAGGACCAGTGCCTGCGCCACAGAGCCACACCAGAGGCAGCAACCCAGAGAGAAGGTCTATGCTGAGGTCCCCAAAGCTGGCCAGGCTCCATCCCTCCTAGGTCTCAGCTGTTCAACAATTCCTTTGATTCACTGACATTACCCCCACTATCTTTTCAATAAACTCCTCCTTTTGTGTGTGGAAGTAGGCTCAAGTTAGTGTCTGTGAAACAACCAAACGACCGCTAATGCCCCTTTTAGTGCTCTAGGTTCTGCTCACTCAGACTAGATACCTCACTCAGGTCTTAGCATTCGGCTTGCACCTGGGACGTCTCTCATCTTATTATTCACGTACAGCAAAGGTCTACCACTTTTCCACCGGTGCCTATCTAGCTTTCATGACCACCTTGCCGAACTTGACTCTAAGCCCGTTAGCAGGGCAGGGTCAAAACACTTCCGTATGTTGCCCACAATGGCCAATTATAGCACTTTGCCCAAGTCATTTGTGATTCACTGAAGGACACAGACAACCCAACCAAATGGGAAACTGACTGATGACAAGACAGTTGTGGTCTGTGGGTCTTTACCAGTGTTATGGAGGGAGCCTGCTGTAAAGCACTGTTCCAAGCTCTGTATCTTAAGACATACCAACAAACTGATTGTTGGAGAATCTGTTAGTTTCTTAGGTGATGTATTAATTGCATGGTCACGTTGGTTGGGGCCTAGCTCTTGAATCTATTGGCACAGCATAGCAGGGGTGAAATCCATTTTTCATATTTCTTGCCTGATGGTCTTCATAAATAATGAAATCTCTGTTTTACGTAGAATGTGCCATAGTGGGGCCCTTCTTATTCCACAAGTATAGAAATAAGAGCCCAGTATAAAGTCAGTTTGGGGATTCTAAATGATTATTCCCATTTTTCTCTATTAGCCTTCTCTAAGGAACAGTCAGAGAAAGAATGAATACCTGAGTTAAAAATTAGTAGCTGAGAAAGGTTTAGAAGTCTCAGAAGGGCAATATATTTCCTTCCTATTACCATTTTCTTTTTTTTTTTTTTTCCCTTTTTGTCTTTTTTTCGTGACCAGCAACGGATCGCAACCCTCAGTGTTGCGCCCGTACTGGACCGGGACCGGCAACGGGATCGCAACTCTAGGTGTTGCCCCCGCACCTCACTCAGCCAGTGAGCGGGAACCGGTCTGTACGTGGGATCCGAACCCTCGGAGGGAGCGCTGCCACGCTCCCAAGCGGCGCACTGTAGCAGTGCGCCACCGGGCCGGCCCCCCTATTACCATTTTCATGAGCAGGGATCAGGTCAGAACAGTTATAAAAGACTAGAATTTTGCATAAGCTGACAAGAAAAGCCAAACAAGAGTGACATGGAATTTATTCTATTAATTATTATTAGGAAATAATGCTAGCCTCAGTTTGAGGCCACAGTCACTGTAATCGCACCAAATTACTGAATATTGTTATCCTAGTGCTGTGAATACACTGTTTCTCAGAAGCTGTGGTAAAGGTAAAAGATCATGGGAGGGATCAGAGAGAGGACTGAGGTCTGAGGGCTGAACCCCACTCTTCAGCTGTTGAACCTTAGGGATGTCGTATCCTTGTCTATAAAACTGGGTGACCTTCTACCTTACAAGGCTGTGAGAGTTGAAATCTTTAGCTGTAAGCAGCATAAGAATCTGCTTTTACTCTGCAGGAAAAAAAAACAAACAAAACATGCTGAAATCTTATGACACCACCCACAAAAAGGCCAGTTAGTTTAGTGAAACCCTCTGAGATGGAGAGAAAAAGGATGGAAAAAGATGGGCAAGGGGAGGAGAGAGAAAGGGAGAAAAGAGCTGGTCACATGAGCATGGTAAGAAAAGGACCAGTGAGGACTGCTGGGGTGCTCTCCTGCACACCTTAACACTGTTTTTTTTAATGGGTTCAGATTTAAGCCTGAGGACAAGCACACAGCACCCCCTTAGCTATACCTCATGGTCCAGTCAAAAGGGTTCACAATGGAGCTACGTCATGTGTGATTATCATAAATCCAACTATAGCAAGTGGTAAAAAAGGAGAAGGAAAAAAACCTTAGCCACCTCACTGTGTGGGCAATTCTGACTGCATTCCACTGAGCAGCGTGTGCCTGGCGCAAATGTGAGAAGGTGAGACAGGAGATCCTGGGATCTGTGTGCCTCTTACATGGGGAATGTCTCTCTGGACCAAGCATGAATTCTAGAGTTTAGAGAAACGTGTCTTGTAATAGCCTGGTCCCCACACACAAACTGGCTACTATGTCTGGTGTTCGGCTGCAAAAACCCTGAGCTGTTCCAAAGCTGGGAGACAAGCTGGCTGTGCTGGACATTTCGAGAGAGCTTTCAATGTGGTGCCCTTCCGGAAGGCTCAGTGGGCAAATCGTATGTATCCTTTGCAATCCTCTGAACTCTAGCCAATGACAAGAGCTTCTATACTTCCCAGCTTGTGCTCCTGCCAATTCCTTTCCAGGTGTAACGCTGTTGCTGCTCCTCTCTATGCATCCTAAATCCTAAGCATCCTTCAAACACCCCCATAACAAGCTCTCCAGCTTCCCAACAGCATTCTCCAATAACCCCATCCTAAAACCTCCACCCTTGGCTGGGCTATTCTTCTGGTGACTTGTCGTTTACTACGTTGTGATAAATCTTCATGTTTCACAGTATTTATTTATTTTTGATACTCATCACTATACAAAAGACTATTTATTAACTTCATCTGAAGCAATACCGGCACTCTCTAATAGGGTATGCGCCCTGAGAGCAGGTATCCTGTTGTATCCAGATTATTGAGTATTTAGTAAGTTTGTCAGCACAGATGAACAAATAAACTTAGTGGTCAAGAGCTCAGACTCTGGGTTACAATCCCGACTCTGCTACATGCAGACCTTGGGCAGGTCACTGGTACTAGAGGAAAACACAAAAACACAATTCATTTCACATGTGACCCACCAGGCAGGTGGAAGTGTGCACTTACAAAAGCGGATGGCAGGAAAAGGACCCCGAGCTCATAGGAACGGATCATCAGCTGGGCACCGTTCTTCTCTAAAGCTCCCCAGGCAGCCTTGGACAGATTCGCGCTGCAGAGACAAGGACACAGAAAGGGCTGACTCAGCGAGGCGTCTCAGTGTGGGTCAAACTTTCACAGCTGCAGGAGCACTGGTCAAAAAAATATATAGCTGCAATCACATTTATTCAGTTTCTAGCAGAGCTGCAGCACTTTTGAAAAGGATTTATCTAATTGCTAATTTGGGATAGCGTCACCCTCATCTGCATTTTCCCTTGAGGGCAGCTATTAAAATAATTATCTTTCCTTAGAAAGGGTTTTGTTCTGTCCAAAATCCTTTCTCTTTTCATGACCTTGCTGTAGCCAGGATTTCTGGTTTTGTTGAATATAAAAGTAGCATTTAAGAAAAAACTATGTAAATATCTTATATAGTAGTATCTTAAACTTCATATCCCTTTTTCTTTTCTTTTTTTTTTTTTTGCACCAAGCAGTGCTAATTTCTAGTTTCAATCTAAAGAAAAGAGCTCTGAGGGTACTAGATTGGTATTTGTATCTGGAAAGAAATGGTACATTCAGAATGTTTTACATAGACAAAGAGTTGTATACACGGGTAAAAAGTCATGGTGCAAAAGGAAGGAGATGCAGCACTGATCACATGGGGTGGTGCCAAGACACACAGCAGGATGCTCAGGAGCAAGAGGACTATTCTTTGAAGCATTGTCTTTAGAGACTTTCTCTTTTTTGAACAGCAAATTTGGCAGAGAACTCTCATCTACTGATTAATTAACATAAACCCACCATAAACATTTTTTTCAATTAGGCTAACCCAATTTCTATTTCATTTTTAAAAAGGATAGTAAAACTTCAGCTATTCAGAACACTTAAAAGCCTGACCTTGTAGATAACGGAATATTTCAAGATTCATTCACTGGTACACCAAATATTTTTCCAAGCTACGGGCTGGAATTGCTGTGCACTGGAATCAGAATCAGAATCAGAAACAGCTATCATGTAAGAAAAAAAACTGAGCTCTGTTAAGGTTCCATGGGAACAGTGAGGAAGGGATGTGGAAATAAGGAACTAAGGAAAACTCTCAAAGAAATTAAGCTCACTTAAGCATATTTTATAGAACTTCCTAACTTAAACAGATCATACCAAGGATAGGGAACCCTTCTCTAATGCACAAGGGCCACAATCATGAATGTCACTATAGGTGACGTGTCACAGAGATGTAAAATGCAGAAGTGGGATGTTTACAATAAAGAATTATGACTCTAAAAAAATATTTTCTGCAAAAGTTCAAGATGATAGCTTGCTCCTAGGTCACTACCTGTTAGTAAAAAAAAAGGTGACCTCCTGGGCACAAAGGACTAATGGCAAAAGTAACCAGTGAGTGTGGGGTGGAAGAAGTCTTCCTATTAAAGTTTCTCTCACTTTCTAGATTATGACCTCCTGAGTAACTCTCTTGATT